TGCTGCTCGCGACTGTACATGGTGACCAGTCGTCTGATGCCTGAAATCGTGCCAGGAGGGAGTCGCGAAGGATCGTGGCCCGTTTTAATGGATCTGTTATCAACATCCCATTATGGTTCAATGGCGGAGGGATACTAGCCTGTCTGGGGTTATCCATTCTCATTAGCTTGAATACATCAGTCGGCGTAGTAATTGATTCGACCTGTTGGGTTTTGAACTCCTTTTTCGAGGTCTTCACAACTGATCGGAGCTTTTTCGCGCTGAGTGCCTGTTGACTGGGAGTTATCGCGCTTTTGTATTCGGCGAAGGCTGCCTTGCACTCTGGGGTCCACCACGGAGCAGATCTGCCGCAGCGAGCTTTTGGTCGTGTTCCTACTGCATTGATTGCATTAGTGAGATGGAAACAAATTTCCTCGGCATACTCTTCAACCCTCTCGATTGTGTCAAGAACTGGTGGTGGTCGGACCCACTGTGCAATGACCTTGGCGTATCTGGGTAGCTTATCCTTTGTTACTCGGAGTTTTGCCTTTTCGGGTCTCATCACTGAGTTGCAAACTGGAATTTGTCCTCGGATAGGGAAGTGATCGCTGGTGACACATCCACCACGATCTACCCAAGCACGGGCGCCGTCGACATTACTCCAAACTAGATCTAGCGTGTTTCCAGCTCGGTGAGTGGGCTCCCCAATAATATGACAGATCAAATGGTGTTTGTCTGCCCATTTCTCGATCATTTCTCCTTGTCCATGAGGACGTTCCACGCCAGGTTGCCAAGCCCAATATACCGAGTTAAAGTCCCCAGCAGCGACGGAGTTTGGCGGTGGAGTCCAGTTGATTAGTGGCTGGATAGCTGTCGAGTCATTGGGTGCCTTGTAGACATTGAGAAAAGTAATGCCGTTCACTTCAACCCAGCAATAGTCTCCTGTAGACACAACATAAGGAAAGATCTGTGTTGCCGATATCTTTTTATCGTCTATCCGGGTATATGTCACAGCCCTCGGCCTAACATTTTCGCCGCCGTTAGGCAGATGATAGGTATATCCTGGGTGATCCTTTGTTGTGCTATTTTGTTTATTCCACAGAGGTTCTTGAACAAGAACCACGTCGATACCCAGCTCAAATGCTCGGGCAAGCGCAATGTTTTGCGTTGAGCCCCCTCTACCTACGTTTATTGACATAAAGCTTAGAGTAGGAGAGAGGCTTGAAGAGACCCGTGGGGTGCCCTTCACAAAGATTTTTGCTGATTTGATGCCTCATCGACCTCGGCTACAGTCGCTGTAGCGTCGGACATGAGAACTTCAAAACAGTTGGTCGATTTGAAACCTGGCTGGTTAGTGTTTGACGCTTCTGTGGCTGCTGTCATCGCTGCCTCTGCGCGTTTGACAGCTGCTTTGGCCCGAGTGACTGCTGCGAATTCGCGTTGGCTAGCCTGCCTTATAGTCTGAAGGTTTTCCCAGGAGGCCATTCCAGACTTTGTTGGACGAGCTAGACAGTCCCGACTATCTGACCTGTGTGGACCTCCACAGTTGCGGCACTTGGTGTGTGCCTTGCACTCCGCGATGGAATGCATAGTTGAAGTACAATTCCAGCAGGCTGGGGCGCGCGAGCAGCCTCTGGTGCCATGGAATTGTAGGCATCTTTTGCACTGGTTGATGCTTTGACGAGGCTGGTGGCGGACTGCAATCCCAGAGTCGTCGAAAAGTCGGAAGCCTGGCCGAGGGATCGATGATTTTTCGAAAAGGGCTACCCATGACTGGTATGGGGCTCCAAGTCGGCTTTTCCCATGTGGGCGAACTTTTACCGGGACAGCCTTGGTGACCCTGACTATCTCGTCTGTTACCATCTCTTCAGTGACGATTACTCTGCCCATTATTGTATTAATGGCTACTGGGACTGTTGCGATTCTAAGTGAGCCCAGGTCCGATGCTTCTTCCAGTATGGCATCTTGCTGGATGAGGGACCCAGCTAGGCTTAATATGATGGCGCGTGCCTCTTGGTTTTCGGCTCTAATTGCGAAGCCAGTTGGAACACGGTATACGTGCTCAATATTGGCTTGAGGAATTTCAAGCACTTTTGCCACAGCCTCTCTAACACCAAACGGTGATAGCTTTCTCCAAGGGTGTTCATTTCCAAGGCGAAGAAACAAGCGTTCATCTTTCATGGCTGATTGCTTTGGGGTGGTCGGGTTTTTAGACGGCCGCGTCGAGTTTGCCGCCTTTGGCATAGCCTGTGCGACTTTTGTGGCTGCCGGGGGAGTCTTTATACCGGTGCGGGTGATTGACGCCCAAGTGGTTTTGGCCTGGGAGACTTTGTCATGAGTCACTTTACTTTGTGGCTCATCCTGCTTTTTGGCAGCACGTTCTTTAATCTTGCTGCCAGTAGCCTGGCTTTCGGGGCGTGGGGGAAGTGATGGGAGGACTGTACCTGGTCCCGCGATCATAAATTGAGCTATTGCAGCTCTAATGTAGACTTTCATAGAGTCTATAAATTGAACACTCGACCCTTTGGATAGGGGGGACAGAGCATTCTCGACACCGTTTATTGCAGCGGTGCAAATTTTTACATTTTCCGCAGTTTTTGCGGCCCGGCGTTCCTCAGCCTCAATCAAGGCTCTGAGTTCGGGGGGGCATTCCTCCGTCTGCCTGCCTTCATTTCCACTGTGAGAAGGATTCTCTTCTGTGGTTCCTGGTGTATGTTCCAGGGGGTTTGGGGTAGATGCTGCACCTTTTGACTTGTTAGCATCTGCAATCGCAGCCCGTCTCATAGCTGGCACAGCGACTTCAATGAGAGGAAGTGTATGCTGTCCGGTAGTCGCTGTCCCTAAATTGTTGCGACTCGTCGCTGCATTTTCAGCTCCGGTCGCATCTGGCTTGGAGTGAATTGAGTTAGGTAGTCTTTTCAGATTCTTAAGAATCTTGTCAATGTCAAAGTTGCCAACATCTATCATATCGCAATCTGTGGTACTTTCGTCGATTAATTGGTCGATGTTCATCTCTTGAACGGCAGTCAGTGGGCCCAACTTGACGCTTGCTTTCTGTCGAGCAACGTGTTTGAGGTGCTTGCGGTTATCTACGATGTCTTTCGCCCGCGATGGCTTACTGCGAACTGGGGGCATATTGGTAGCCTGCCAGTCGCTCACAAATTTTGAATTAAGGGCGTACGATATCGAGAGAGGGAGGGAGAGGGGGAAAGGGTGAATATTCGAATATTCGAATTTCAAAAAATTGTGAGTGTGTGTGTGTGTTTGTGTTTATTGTGCTACTTGAGTCTATGACTACCTAGCACATTGGGCCCCCTCTCTGATCCAGGCCACACCTTATACAGTGCTCCTATCCTCTTTTGTTACGTGAAAGACCATTGATATATTCCCCTTGATGAATAGCCATTCAGCTCAGTATTTACCCGTGGAATTCAGCCACCTTTTCCACGGAACCTTCTACCCAAAAAAATAAAAATGGTAGCAATGGAAACTGCGTGCGCGGGAAAAAGTCTCAAAAAACCTGCAGCCCCAGCCAGGCGAGGCCTAGACACCGGGACCACATGAGGTGCGCATATTCATCTATATCTCCCTTCTTTGTAACCGTCGAGGCCGACTTGATCCAATCCACCATCTCCGTATCGGGTGCTGGGTACGCTCCGGAAACTCATCGGATGGCTTTTCCTCCGTGATCAAGGTTTGGTGATGAGTAGAGCTCCGACCCTACCATCTGATCTGATCGTGGTTAGCTTCATGATAATGGTGATAGGGGAATGTGTTGAGAGATGAAGACGATACAGACCGCGAAAGCGATGGGGAATCCTCTCCGAAGTGAGGACATTGTTACTCAATCTCGGCTCTGCAGACTCTACAGTGAGAGCTGGAAGTTCGTAGGGGACACCACTGACAGGTGTTAATAATAGTCCCCCTTCGAGTGGGTACTAATGGTATCTAAAGATACAAGAGTCAACTAGAGGTGACCAGAGTTAATCCGAAGGTGATGGTTGTGACAGAAAACTAAGCATAGGGAACTTCAAATCTACAGACCACGCCATCATAACAAAGACCTGAACCTAGTATCAACATGATACCATGTGTCAAGGACTGTACTGTTGTTAAAGTAACATAGAAAGAATGGTAAAATTATATACTGAAGGAAAGATCGGAAGAGGAATCTTTTTAACCGTTAACCTCAATTTAGATGCGATTCTCCTTGGCTATCGTTGGTATGCAGAGCAAACCGAGCCACTTCACCGACGCCTGTAGAAGGTGAAGAATTGTCTTTTCCGGCTTGCTGAGAGATGAAGATGAAACTAACAGTAAGAGAATTTAGAATTCCTCATGCCAGCGAGGAAGGTGATGCTTAATCTCGGCTCTACAGCAGGAGCTGGATCTTTGACCCGCAAAATTCAGATAGTCCAAGTCTGTGGCCCTGCTGATGGTTAATCACTCACTTCTAACTAATGAAATTAGATTGCAATAGTCAACTATCCACGGGAATGCATGCCTCTTAGGTACGGCTTGGCTCATTTAACTCATGGGCAAAGTTTGTCATGGAATGGGACACGCGCATTGGAGCGTGAATTAATTCAAAGCGTAACAATTGGTTTGCTAAAAGTAGAATTCCTCCAATATATAATCCCATAGTCTTTGTAGCCACAGCCTGCATCACAAAGTCATTCGATCGACGCTCCTTTTGCTTCACTCAGAGAAACGTTGGCACCGAATACTATCAACATATTTCCGTTGACAAAACCTGGATATCTTGTCATCAATTATCTATTGAGCCTCCTCAGTAACATCGAGCGACCTCCTGTTTGCAGGCCAAAGTCCAGTTTCGTGAGACGACACTGTCCAAATGAAGTTTCTCAACGCCGTATTCCCGGCCGCATTGGCTGGTCTTTTACTACTAGTGCCAGCTGTTTATGCGGTTCCACACTTTCAATGCGGTGTGGGAAATTTTATTACAGCCAGGATGATTGAAAATTGTTTAAAATATTCTGCAAAAAGGAGGGCAGAGCCTGATGATCCCAGAGGTCCCAATGGGGAAGAATACTGGTCACATCGAATCAGCGCGACACCAGAAGGTGGAGGTTAGTTTCCACATCCTTTGACATCGCTATCACTAAACATATCCCTCCGTATCTAGTCGAAACTCCTTACTTGGTTCAGGAAATCGATGAATATCCCTTCATCCAAGTCTACACGAGAAATGCAGAGCGTTGGCAACCATGTGTATACATGTCAAACTAATAAGAGACAAAACATCGGCCTAGTGATTTGGGTCAAGGTATGGCGTAATAATAGAGCTTCGTGGGTAACTCCTGCACAATGAAATTTAAATCAGGATTTATTTCTAGAAAGCCACCTGCTCAGATTGTTTTCTACTATTCTAGGGCCAGCCGACTTTGCATCGCACTCCGCACATCTCCTAATCCCTCACAAATTGACGCACCCGGTGACGATGTGGATAAACACCTACAGTTTAGCACTGTCAGGATAATGCATATGCAAGCTTATAAACTCAGGTAGGAGATGAATGGATAAAATTAATAATATCCATGGTGGATAGTTGTAAGGGTTCTGGAGAAATGCCTTCAGGCAGGTCTCACGGGTTCCTGATTGAATCCCACTGGGCGTTTTCTTTTTTTACCTTTAATGTGTATGCAGCTATTCAGCTATTCAGCTATGACACATGACCGGTGCTATGTAAACATGTTGGATGACTCTTTTGACGTTAGAGACACTCATACTCAGGATATCATTCGCAAATACCACTCTGAGGTATGCTTGCTTACACAAATAGTCGACCCTCCTCTGTAAGTACCCACGAAAGGGAATTTCATAAACTTTGTTTATTCAAGCATACGTTTGTCATCCATTTCCACTAGCTCCGCGACAAATTTGGTTGTATTTTGCTCGATTTGAACCAGCGATCTACTGTCTCGGGTGAGATATGTGTCCAAGCTATGCAGACTACTTCGCAGACTGGTCAAGACAATATACCACTGCACCATCCAGCCATCGTTGTGCTTAAAGTGTCAGCTGCATTCTCGATACAGAAGCCTTGGCACGCACAATGCTCAATTTATAAATCTCCCTGCCAAATTTCAACATCAGTCGTCCGTCGACCCTTACATCCATCATCTTTGTCACATTGTAAACTTTTCTTAATCCATCTCACGTTCATACCAATGAATTGTCACCAAGATTTGTGCGCCACGCTTTGTTTTCTCCGTCGGGTGCGAATATCGGCGTGGGCGTGTATTTGGTGGTCAACTGAGACCAGAGAAAGTCGACGAGAGGTGTAGTCATGGGAGTGAAGATGTACTGGGTCGAATTTGCAGACTTGATGAGACTCGGGTAGGATTCGATCTCTTTGAGAGTGAAAAATTGATGTGGTAGAGTATTTTAAATCATTGCCTCGTGGGCCAACTTGTTTGATATTGCGAAATTTGACTAAACTTGGCTCTGAGAGAAAATTTCACTCCGAGGCTATTAAGGACACCGTGTACAGGAGTTCAGTCTTGCCCTCCCGAGTCTTGACTCATTACCCCGTATGCTGACTTCTTCAGTATCGCCAAACTCGACGAAACTCGGATCTAGGAGACTATTTGTCCTCCGAGCCTGTTGGGAACACTGCGCCCAGGAGCTATCCCTCACCCTTCACAAGATCATCATATACATCACGAATGTGAATTTGATCCATTCGACTGAATTTAAGTCGAGCAAATACGCTTACTTTGCATGAAATTTCCACATCAGGGCAAGACAATGAATTCTGTCTACTTAATACAAAATTGCCGAAACGTGAAAGTTATTGGCCGTTCCCGCAAAATCTGACACATTGCGGCGTCAGGTTGTTAGGCTGTAGGGGAGCATCACAAGAGATATCTACAGTAACTCAGAAATTGCAACAAATATTACACACATATGTGTCAACAAATTTCTTACAATATATGGGAGATGGGATACATTGAGCAAGCCTTCTTCTCTGCCCACGGAAAATAACGTAGCTCTGCTGGTGAAATTAGAAACGGATTAGTCAAATATCTTTTGACATAGCTTGGCTCATTGTATTAATTGCTAAAGCTTGCCATGGATCAGTACTCGAGAGCTGCTGCGTCAATTAATTTAGAAATATGACATGGGTATGCAAAGTGGATTTGTCAAAAATATATATACATTAGGGTCCATGCTCATCTTCTAAACATTATCCAGAGAGTTAACCAAGACTCTTTTGACGTCGTTGACAGAGACATTGGTACCGAGTATTGGCATCACATTTTCATTATAAATTCCAGGAAATCTCGTCATCAATTATCCTTTGGACCTCGGTGAAAGAACAGGTGGATTCGTGTTTGAAGCCCAAATTTCGGCTTGGTTAGTACGACGTTCTCCCAATAAAGTTTCTCAGCTCTGCCTCCACGGCCGCACTGGCTTTCCTTCTCTTACTGGTGCCTGTTGCGCTCGGAGAACCACATTTTCTATGTAGTTATGACGAAAACTCGGCGTAAAAGGACTCAAACGCGATAGATCATTTTGTGATGTGACAAGAGCGAAGTCTGGCGATCCTCTCGATCCCAACGGCGAGTTTTACCGCACACGTCGATTCAACTTGATACCAAAGTCAGGATGTAAGTTAAATGGTCCTCTGATCTGGCTTTCAGTAACCATTTTCTTGGTATGAAGACTCCACGGTATATATAGTTCAATTGATTGATGAAACTCCAACATTCCGCATTTGTGAGAAAAAAACGAAGGGTGGGAACTATGTTTGTTCCGAGAAAATTAACAACAGGCGACACATCGGTGTAGTGAATTTGTCATGGCAGGGTCTGGGAATAGAAATTGGCAATGGATTATGAGGGAAAATAACCTGGAGAACATTGCCTTTGAAAACCCTTGTTACTCGGCTAGAACATGCATGTCTGCTAGGGATATATATTTAATGTGAATAAAATATTGAGCCCCAGGTGGATGTATGTGTTTTTATTGTACTACTTGAGTCTATGACTATCTAGCACATTGGGCTCCTCTCTGATCCAGGCCATAACTTGTACAGTGCTCCTTGCCTCTCATGTTTCGTGAAGGATCATTGATATATTTCCCTTAATGAATAGCCATTCAGCTCAGTATTTACCCGTGGAATTCAGCCACCTTTTCCACGGAACCTTCTACCCAAAAAAATAAAAATGGTAGCAATGGAAACTGCGTGCGCGGGAAAAAGTGTCAAAAAACCTGCAGCCTAAGCAAGGCGAGGCTGAGAAGCCGGAACTGTCATAAAAACGAGGTCATGAGTAGACAGAGAAATACCTGAAATGGATGCAGATGATTATGGATATGCGGATATAATTGATGTAGCTGTAATGCGAAGATGCGTTGAAATGAACAGTTGTAGGTTGGTTGTCTTTCGGCCTACGGGAGTATTGCTTCCTTATATACACGTTCAACCCCAAGTCCTGATCACGCACTCATCACAGGTGCTTCCTACTCCTGTCACAGTAACCACTTCCATAGCCATAACCAATATCTCCTGACATAACATACCATCGATACTGGTTGCTAGTATAGAACTTCCGGGATTACAGAGCTACACACCATCGTCACATTGTATGCTGTTGCCCCTCAGTGGCCATCAGAGTGATGTGTACCTCATTCTAGACGCATTGGTCTACCAGGCAACGCTCGGACGTAGGGATGTTGCCAGAATGATTAGGTACTCAGCTGTGCTATCAGTGCCCAAGGAGGGCAAGACTGAACACCTGTACGCGGTGTCCTCTACGAACCTAGGAGTGAAATATTCTCCCAGAGTCAAGTTCAGTCAAATTTCGCAATATCAAAGAACTTGGCCCACTAGGTTATGATTCAAGTTACTCCTCCAGGTCGTTTTTTCACTCCCAACGAGTCCGATTCTCAACTAAGCTTCATCAAGTCTACAAGTACGACCTAGTACATCCTCATCCCAATGACCATACCTCTCGTCGACTTTCTCTGGCCTCAGTTGACCACCAAATGCACGCCCACGCCGATATTTATACCCGACGGAGGAAGCAAAGCGTAGAGCACAAATCTGAGAGATAGCTCTTTGGGATGGACGTGAGAGGGATCAGGACAAGTTTACAAGATGATGCAGAAGAGGGATACGTTTTCGACGAGCGTGAAATTTTGAATTTTGGCAAGAGTTTTCCGAATTGAGCTTTGTGCGCGCCAAGACTTCGATTGCTAGAGTGCAGCTGACACTATAAAAACAAGCCGACGATGGAAGGTGTCGTGGTCCGCCTCCTGGTGGTGTTCTCTGGTATGGTTTGAGTAGCCTGGGCACCTACTCCACTTGGGAAGGAGACGTCTCAGACCATATTTCGCGCGGAGAAAAATTAGTGGATGATGGAGGCATGTCTAGATAACTAAGGGTTTTTTGAGACGTCCCCTGGGTGGGTATTCACGGATGAGGGTTGACTTGGGGTGAAGAAAAAGCCACCATAGCTTCGCAGTGGTACTTGCAAATGAAATCCGAGGCATGAGTGCTCCTCTTGTAAATTGAGTCATTTTTTCTATACTTTTCTTTGATATTGTGTCATAGCTAGATAGCTGCATACGCAATTAAAATCTGATGCAAAAAAAAAAAAGAAGTCTGAGGTGGTCCGATCATTAAAGTGGGACGAGGTTTATCTGTACTTCACGGTAGTTAACCTGATCCGGCCCAAACCCACACGTGCCCAAGCTCCAATAGGAGTGCAACGATAGTCATGTAACCTAGCACGTTAATGAACAAAACAAAACCCCTCGGGTCGGACAAATCGAACTCTCGAGTAATCAGTTAAAAAAACCCTGCGCCGCAAATTTCGCTCCCGAGACATCCAGGATAAATTGGTGCTGCAACGCGGGAGAAACAATCTCCGCCAGAATTTCCTCTTACATATCTCTCTTTGTCCGACTAATACACTTTGTTCGAGCCAGTTTTGGCCAGAAATTTGTCGGCCATCTCTCTCCTAGTATCCACCTAGCCTCTGGTGTCGCTTTATGTCTAGAGTTCCTCCACTTCTAAAGGATGCGTCGACATTCTACACGGCTTCATTGACTTCGGCAGGGAGGTAAGGCGAAGTTGTGATAAATCTTGCAACGATGATCACTAATCAAGAGACACCTACCTTCGTATGCAATGAAAAATGTCTAGTTACCTCTTCCTGAAAAATCTTCACCCTTCCAGACCATCTCATCCCCCAGTTCTGACGGCGTCCATCGCCTGTCCCTGCCATCCTATGCAGTGGCATGGAATTTCAATGCGCCCTTTACGGATTGTGGCTTTGATTGCACTGACGCGCTCGTTGACTTCATGAACTAATGACTAGAGATAAGGCATTTTTTACATATGAGCATATGCCTGTTGGATGGTTTAATGCGGTATTCATGCTTGAGGAATGGACAGTGCCTGCATAATGGCTACAAAAATTACCCTTAAGGCTATCAGCTAACTGAAATACTCTACTTCGCCACAAAGAATCTGTTGCTGTGGTAACAGACACCAATTGTTATTCTAAAATATCAAAATTTTGTCCTAAAGATTATCACGTTGACGTAGCTATTTACCTTGAAGTTATCGCCCAGCCTTGGTCTTTGACTGTACAGGACATGCTATAGCATTTTTGTTATCCTCAGCTATGTAATATGGTAGATCTAGTAGCTGGTGCATAGGTAGTTATAATGGTAGCATGGCATTATGGCGCATGGAGGAGATCCCGTCTCTACATAACGAGATTACAAGTAGTAATGCGTGCAGAACGAGAGATGGGTTGTTGATATGGGACAAATGGCTTGGCTGCTCATTTGGGAGCAAACATTGGTAAGCTGCATACTGGTAACGTGATCGGTCTACAAGCGAACAAGTTCGGGGATAAGGGACGAGCTCCACCATCTGTAACACAATAATTATCATAGTAACTACTTCACTTCTGCACACTAATGAAGATATCTCTCCACATACTATCTTAGCTGTTCTAGCGCAAGTGCACATTCCCAAACCATCTACCAATCATAATATTTTTGCGTACGGGTCAAGTATGGCTAGACTAATGGCATATCTCACGTATGAGGGTTGACTTGGGATGAGGTAAAGCCGCCATAACTTTGCCGTGGTACTTGCAAATGAAATCCGAGGAAAGAGTGCTTTTCTGTTAAATTGAGTCATTTATTACTCCTTTCTCTAATATGGTGTCATAGCTCGATAGCTGCATACGTAATTAAAATCTGATGTGCAAAACAAAAAGAGGCATATCTCCTATCCTATACAGATGCGCCCACACAAGTTCCTATTTGATGATACAGAAAGGCCCTTTACGCCTTCTAGTCACTCCTCTCCATTCTTACAAATGATGACCATTTTCGGGCGTAGGGCAGCAATAGAAATTGGTAAATCTGCTAGGCGTGCCAGACTGAAGAGCACCCGAGAAAATCCACCAACCTGCTTTTGTCACCTCCAATCACATCTTTTCTGAAGTCAGTATTGGATTATTAGAAGAGCCTTGATAGAGTCTGCCTGCTGTAAATTAGTTTCACCGAAACTAGCGGTGGTGCTTTGTGAATTAATTAGTGTCTTGGACTCATCCAAAATAAAATTCATCCTGCCTCATTGACGGAAAACATAGTCTTGGCGCCCTCGAACTTCCATAGTTGAAACCCCTTCGACCTTGTTAGATCCAGAAGGCTCGGGAGAGATCTCTTCCCTCCTTCGCTCCACCTCTCAGCTCCCTGGACTGGCTCGGGCTGTAGTGCGCCGGTAGAGCAGCGGTCGCCCTCAATCCAAAACTCAAGCTCTGTACACTATGGCTTGGTCTCCTTCTTGACGGTAGACACAGCCTCGTAATTTCTAGTCAGATATGGGCGGGGATATTTGAGGCAAGCTCTCGTATCTAATTAGAGCATGTCCTTGGTCAGTCGTTGAGGCGAGGCGGTGTATGGTAAGATCGAGTGGGAAGACTCGCGGGAGAATGATAAGACAGATATTATGGGTAATGGTCGACTTGAGATGCGCTTGTATTGACCTTCAACATCGATTCAGATGCGATTCTCCTTGGCTATCGTTGGTATGCAGAGCAAACCGAGCCACTTCACCGACGCCTGTAGAAGGTGAAGAATTGTCTTTTCCGGCTTGCTGAGAGATGAAGATGAAACTAACAGTAAGAGAATTTAGAATTCCTCATGCCAGCGAGGAAGGTGATGCTTAATCTCGGCTCTACAGCAGGAGCTGGATCTTTGACCCGCAAAATTCAGATAGTCCAAGTCTGTGGCCCTGCTGATGGTTAATCACTCACTTCTAACTAATGAAATTAGGTCTCATTAGTCAACTATCTACTGGAATGCATGCCTCTTAGGTACGGCTTGGCTCATTTAACTCATGGGCAAAGTTTGTCATGGAATGGGACACGCGCATTGGAGCGTGAATTAATTCAAAGCGTAACAATTGGTTTGCTAAAAGTAGAATTCCTCCAATATATAATCCCATAGTCTTTGTAGCCACAGCCTGCATCACAAAGTCATTCGATCGACGCTCCTTTTGCTTCACTCAGAGAAACGTTGGCACCGAATACTATCAACATATTTCCGTTGACAAAACCTGGATATCTTGTCATCAATTATCTATTGAGCCTCCTCAGTAACATCGAGCGACCTCCTGTTTGCAGGCCAAAGTCCAGTTTCGTGAGACGACACTGTCCAAATGAAGTTTCTCAACGCCGTATTCCCGGCCGCATTGGCTGGTCTTTTACTACTAGTGCCAGCTGTTTATGCGGTTCCACACTTTAAATGCGGTGGAGTATTAACTGTTTCGATCAGACAAATTGAATCAAGTATGAATGAATCTGGATATCAGAGGACAAGGCCTGATGATCCCGAAGGACAAGATGGGCAACAATACTTGTCATGCCGATTTAACGCGGTAGCAGGAGGTGGAGGTTAGTTTACTCCTCTCTTCACATTACCATCACTAAACTTCTCCGTGTCCAGACGATTCCTTCTGCATGGCTCAGAGAATCGATGAACATCCCAACTACCGAGTCTATCTGTTACGTGGAGATAATTGGCAACCATGTGTATACATGTCAAACTAATAAGAGACAAAACATCGGCCTTGTGATTAGAGTCAAAGTATGGTGTAGTGATAGAACCTCGTTGGCAACTCCTGCACAATCAAATTTAAATGAGGATTTATTTCTAGAAAACCACTTGTTAAGATTGTGTTCTACTCATCCAGGAGCAGACGGATTGGCAACGCACTCTCCACATCTCCCTATCCCTCCCAAATTGACACAGCAAGTGACGTCGTGGACTAAAACCTACAGTATAGCACTGTCAGGATAATGCATATCCAAGCTTGTAAACTCAGATAGGAGATGAATGGATAAGATTATCAGAGAAATAATGAGCCCTCCGTCATTGAGGGTGTAGAGCGCATGGATTCAAGTAACTCCCAAAGTGAAACTAAGTACAGAATTTGTAGTCAGGCGTGTATCAACAACGTGGTCTACTTGATGGCCGCCATTATTCCAAACTCTGACAAATATTAATAATATAAATGATGGATAGTTTTGAGGATACTGGAGAAATGACTTTGGTCAGGTTGCACGGGTTCCTCGCTTAATGGCACTGGGTCTTTCTGTTTGTTTGTTTGCATTTAAGGCCAAGTAGGCCTGTGGCTATCGGACAATTCCATCGTCGTAAGTCTACATTATCCTCTCAAGTCTTCATTATCCTCTCTTTTTTCGCAAATAATGCTCGGTATTAATGCAAGCTAGAGCCTTAGCCCCCTCTTTTCGTGTCGATTCCTCATTGTCTAACTCCTGGCTACTTTCCCTTCTTTTTTTTAAAAAATTACTATGACTAAATTACAAATTTATGCAGTTCTTTCAAGGTAATCCTATCAATGTCACCACTAATCTTGCCACTACGCTATGATAACTTCTTGTTATTTGTAAGGATCAGCTGTGTTGCACCATTTCCCGAGCTCATTCGCTCCTCTAGTTGTGCCGAAGATCTACATGATGTCCGCCTCCTTACTGCGAGATGGACGTGGTCTAGGAGTTTTACTTTGGTGAAGTTTCCGACATACGAAGGGATATTCCGGAGACTTTTTCTCTCCACAGATACACTATAGCTTGGCGTAACGGCTGCTAAGCCTAAGAATTCCTGTAGCCTACGCTGGCTAGCACAGGCAATGACATCTAGGGAATCTTCGGGGAGGATCTCGGGATACACGGAGCATAGAAGATTCTTAATGAACCTTCTGGAAGCATACTGAAGGTTCATGAGGATGACAGACATATTGAGAGTCTTCTAGGGAATCTTCGAAGATTCCATATTATTCTAGTCATAGGGGAACCTTATAGCAGAATCTCAGGGTGTATATATATTTGTAGTCTAGCTACAGGAATTCTCTCTCTAGAGAATCATAATTAATATACTGTACCTACAAGATCGCCCAAGCATGTTGTACTGAAACCATGACACTTGGTGACTTGGTGCTGGAAGTGTCTGTGATACGTGGCGTAGTCTCCGTGAGAGGAGTGGGCCGCAAGGTGTAATGCGAGATTTTTCGAGAAAAAGTCTATGATTCCTCAGGCATTTGTCCTGTCATAGATATCTTAAGACTCCTATATCTACTCGGAGCGTGTTCCTTCCAGAATCGGGTGATGCTACTCTCGTGCCACTCCTTTGTGAAGCCTTTGTCCGTGTAGCTGTTTCGCTGCAGGCCTCCTTGGCTAATACGTCTGCACGCTCATTTCCTTTGATCCCTGCGTGACTTGGAACCCATTGTACTTTCACCGCACCTTCTATTTCTCTCGACGATTGCACTCTACTTTTTGTTGAAATTATGGAGTACAGAGATAAGTCAGGTGATGGTTAATGGAAGTAATTGATGAAGGGTTTGGTTGTTGAGTTTTCTATGATTTCTGTGTTGCAATATACTTTGTCGATCCCACTGGGCTCGATAATTAGTAGTCCCGACCGACTGGTGTTTGGCCAATGGAGATTGCATATACCCTGTGCTAGCGTTGTTCACTGCTATTAATAGGAGATCCCGCACGGGCTATCTATTGGGATTAAAGGGAGTCTGGTACCTGTGCTTAGTAGAGTAGTCGAATTGACATCCTTTTATCTGTCATGTTGGAAAATATACTCTGTACCATATTATATGGATAAATATGATGAAGTAAAGAAGACTTGATATTTTACAACTATGTGAACATTGGACTTAGACATCTTAGGGGAGAAATTCCCACTAGTCTCATGTGCCTGTCAAAGCTAGTGATGACCAGCCACCTCTCATCTACCATAATGATCCAAGGTACACTGTAGTACGTAAATATCCAATTGTAAATGCAACGGTAGGCGCGATTAGCGCACTCGTGACATGTGTAGAGAGAGTCGATCTTGTCGGGAACGTGAGACGAAACAGGTAATGATTGAGTCCTAAATTCGAGAGTCAGAATTTCCAACACGTCATTATTGCATAAGCTTCCCTCTACCAATAAGCCCATGAGCTAAGTAGTGGCTTATACATTTCAATACTTTTCCAATTTTCCCTCTGTTGGTAAAACACGAAGTAATACAAATTGGGTGCCATCACGAAGTCGGTGAATAATATCAATTAACTGGTATCTCGAAATACTTAAAACGTTGTCTCCCTTCTTTTCTCCCCCCAATTCCCCTTCCTTCCTGTTAGGATTAGACCAGGGTTAGTGATATGTAGAGATTCTCAGATATATATTCCAGGCTACTGTTTCCACTTGGGGTATAATCCAAATGTCTATGATTCAAAGTGTGAGAGGTTGAGTTTTATACATGTGTGTCAAACTGTTACATCAATGCATGCTTAGCAGTTACATATCTCAGGGGTGTAGATGCATGGAACATGTTTGGCATAGGAAAACACTACCATCGAGAACATCAACGTAATATTCTGTAAACAACACTGTAACTAGATCTGACTTGACAATTAAGTCTTGATCTGTTGCTAAGTGGATGGATAACGTATGGATACCTTGGATAGATAGTCTATAAGTGACCTGGACGGGAAGTGAGGACAAGCAGGTTCTACGCAGAAATCATATCATTTAATATAATAAATCATCTTTCATATACATCTACACTTATTATATTTTCTTTGCAATACTCAACGTATATTTACACCCATCGACACACGACAATCCGTAATTATTCTATGCCTTTTGTCCAAACATATAAGTAAATAACTTCCTCTACTCCAAGCGACTCGCTAATGAGCTAAATCAGACCCCTGTCAGTGTCCTAACGACAACCTGGATACCGCAAATAGATAGAACAATTCATACTACCCAAATTTGATGCTTTTACCAACACTCTCAGTTCTCGGAATTCTGCAATCTTGACCGAGCTGGATGGGCTTAGGTAGCCAGTGTGCAATCGTAGTGCCGCTTCTTCATTATCCAGACATACCACAATATTTGTAGCGTATTTGGTCATACAATGTGTCATGGCTGCTTTTAGCCCCTCCACTGCCCCAATGATTTCTGCATCAAATAATTCTGCAGTCCGACCGAGGGGAATCTTCGCATTTGTAATTTCCGAGTTTGGACCCCTGTAGATGCAATACGCACTGCCTGCCTCTCCTTCCATGTCCATTGCCCCATCTGTATAGATGAAAAGATCTAACAAATTATGCCTCTGGCTTTGCTCCCAACTTTGATATTCCATCAGACCTTTTTCTCGGTCGATAGCACTCATCTCTTCCTTTGATTTACTCCTATCAAGACTCAGCCAAGGAGGGGTAATAGTGTCCAGCAACAATTCGACTTTTTGACGGCTCCTAATCCAGTAGAGAAGTTTTGTATTCCAACGGCTTCGCAAGGGGTGCTTAGGCTCAGCCGAGGCAACTCTAATCACAAAGCGATCGTGTATTCTTTCTGGCCACGTAGTTGCTGGGGCCCATCCAGTTTCCCGCAAAAGGGCTGGAACAGGGGTAGCTTTATACACTGGTGATACAGCTCGAGCTGCTCTATTGTGATGAAACCAAGCTGGTTGTAGTTGTTAAGATTATGAGCACATACGGGTTGAATCTCTACCTTGGAAGGATGCTATATGTGTTTGTTGAACACCAACGTAGATATAGAAGCGACTTGTGTTAACTGAGGAATGCTTGTATTCAGATGAAATTTACTTACTCCTACTGCTAGGAGATACATCTCATTATATACATGTCCTGGATAGCCATATCACAGTTCCTACACTATCCAGTACATTCCATTCCATTCTACACTATTCGATCCCATACCATTCCATCACAAATCTATGATGCCCTAATTATGGGTTGCCCTCAAGTCCATGTCCTTGGACTTGCATGAAATATTGGCATGCATAAATCTGCACAGATCTGGGATCTCTTGGCAGATTATAACAAAACCAGCACCACGAGAAATGTGGTTGTATTTTGCTTGCTTTGAACCAGCAATCTACTGTCTTGAGTGGGATATGTGTCTAAGCCTTCCAGACTCTACTTGGCAGACTGGCCAAGACAATGTACCACTACACCATCCAACCATGTTTGTGCTTAAAGTGTCAGCTACACTCTCAAAATCAAAGCCTTGGCACGCACAAGGTCATTTTGTGAATCTCCTTGCCAAAATTCGAAATTTCACGCCTGTCAATCCTGTATCCATCATCTGTGACATCTTGTAAACTTGTCCTGATTTTATATACTTCCGTCCCAATAACTGTCACCCGGATCTGTACGCCACGCTTTTTTCCTCTGTTGGGTTCAAATATTGGCGTGGGCGTGTATTTGGTGACCCGCTGAGGCAAGAGAAAGTCGACGAGAGGTGTAGTCATGGGAATGAGGATGTACTAGGTCGAACTTGCAGACTAGATGAGACTTGGATAGGATTTAATCTCTTTCGGAGTGAAAATTGATGTGGTAGAGTATTTTAAATCATTGCCTCGTGGGCCGACTTGTTCGATATTGCGAAATTTGACTGAACTTTGCTCTGGGAGAATATTTGACTCTCAGGTTCGTAGAGGACACCGCGTATAGGTGTACAATCTTGCTCTCCCCCCATAGCATCAAATAGCCAAGTCA